AACTTCACTATTTAAATAACTAATTTATATTACTTAAATTCTCGTGTCCAAACAAAAGGCTTCATCTTTACCGGAACAAAATTTATCTTTATATTCAATATATGTGTGAGTTTATATATATTTTCTCCATCTTAATGCAATAGTATAATTTATTATTTTTATCCGTCACAAAATAATAGTCTCGTTTTTTATAAATAATCAAATATTATCATAAAATTATCTCTATTTTTTTATTATTATTACACAAATGTCATTACTTTTTACATTAATATTCGCAAGGACAAAAATATCTTTTACTTATATTTTTTCTACCGATATATAATATCAATATTATTTCAAATCCCGTGGTCAATAGTAAGATAATAGTTCCGGAACGGATGGAGTATATATTTGTTATATGAAATTTTTGTTCTTTTGTGTTTGTTTGGGGATTGGATTTTAAACACGCTATTAATTCCATTTTTTTTTCCAAAAACATCAAATCAAACACTTATTTTTTATTTTTTATATTATACTAAAAATCAATTTTACATTCAAAACTTCACATCAACAACTATTTATATCACATCATACAACTATTCAAATTCAAAATTTTTACTATTCAAATCTGAACTCAAAATCTAAACCCCCGAACAAACTAGTTGAACTGTAGGATTAATTTTCGAAAAATTGATAAATTTATGACCCACCTATAGTCTTTAACTTTTAATTGTTCCAATGCATTACAAGTTCATTTTATTTATTTGTTATAGTATATGGTATCTATCATGATCGAGAATAACTCACTAGAAAGAACTATATCCTAGTTGATAGAAGACTGTAATTTTATTTTATTTTTTTGTCAACAGACTTTGGCGATGATTGGTTGAAAGTGTTGAAAGTTGATTATGTAAATATTTTTGAATTTGAAATAATATTTTAAATTGTAAGATTATTTCTATACAGAAAGTCATAAAGGACGCAACAATTTACCCTAATTTGTTTTATACTAACTAGTGCGCTCACCGTGCGATTTGTGTTAATTAATATAATATTAATGGAAATATATTAATTATGTTAATTAATATAATTATTTTTATATAAAAAATCAAAAATTAAAAAAAAAAATTGATCGTGTAGGACCAAGCCGACCTCAAATATATATATATATATATATATAATTCAAACTTAGATGAAGTGTGTAGCTTAAGTTTGATAATTCTTTATTTGGAATTAGGTCATTGATTTGGAAAAGTTTTGGAAATAGACCTATTTAAAATTATTAATGGCAATTCACCAATCTCTCTTTAAATCTGTTGATAATTACGGATTTGTTGGTTTGTTATTTGAAATCAAAAATATTATGTTTATTATTTAAAAAAAAAAAAGAATATTATATTATTTGTTTGACCATTCTTAATAAAAACAATTTTTTATAAAATACTTCTTCAGCATCATTTTTTTTTATTTTTTTCTTGTCTCATTTCAATTGGTATATTTTTATCTTTGATCAAAATTTATTAAATATATATATCCTTAACAAATATTTTTTCTGTACTATTTTAATTGACACATTTTAATTTTTAGGAAATTTATCAATATTAAGCATACTTAACAAATATTTATTCCATCTCTTGACAATCTATCCATTTTTTTATTTTGATCTGTCCTATAATAAATTATTCATTTTTTTTTTTTTAGTAATTGTACTATCTACCTAACATTACAAATACTCTTCCAATTTACAATATATTACACAAATGTCATTATTTTTATATCATACAATACTGATAGGGTTAATTTAGTCTTTTAACCTTTATTTTTACTTTATCAAATATAATACTAATATTTCTAAAATTCCGTCCAAAAAGGTAAATTGATATATAGATATTGGACAGAGGGAGTATAAATTAACTGAATTAAATTTCTAATATTTTACAAACAGAACCCACACTAAATCCTTTTAAATATATTTCTCTCCTCGATCAATTTAATTGATAATCTAATCTCTTACACTTAAGATCTATCTAAAAAAATTTTTTTCTCTCTCCTCAATAAATAAATATTATTATTTTATGCATTTAAAACTTTCTATATTTTTAAGAAATATTTTATGGGAATTATAATTAAATAAAAATAATCTTTTACTTAATTATATTATATACTTCATCCGTTCCAAAATAATAGTTCAATTTTTCTATTTTCGACCGTTGCAAAACAATAATCTTATTTATATAAATAACTATGTCACCATAAAATTACACTTATTTTTTTATTATTACTACACAAATACTACTCCCTTCGTCTCATAAATATAGTCTTAATTGGGTTGGGCACGATATTTAAGAAATATTGATATTATATTACAGTGATAAAGTTATTTATGAAAATAAGACTATTGTTTTGGAACGGACAAAAATGGTAAACAAGACTATTGTATTAGGACGGAGGGAGTACTATTTTTTACACAAATATATTCACAAGACATTTTTGTCTTTTAACATTTACTTTATAGTATCCATTTTTAATATACACTACAAAAAAATATAAATTTTGTAACAAGATTTTTTCGTTCTTAAATTCACTTTTTCCGTTACTAATGATATTAGAGACGAAATTAGAGATGGAATTACATTAGCTACGTGAACTTTAGAAACGAAATTCCGTTACAAATATACTATTTTTTGTAGTGATAATATCATTATTTTTAAAACGACGTGTCAAACCGCAATGAGTATTCTTTTGGGACGGAGAAAATAAAATTTTACTCTTTATAAACTGATATTCATATTGTGAATATATATTTGATATATAGAGTTTAAAATATTTAAAATACATATTCTAAATTTTTTAAATCATAAAGTATATATTAATTTTTATTTAAAAAAATATCAACATCACTAGTCACACATAAAAATAAAATAAATAAATAAAAAACTAATATGATAAATCATTGTCATTAATTTATTAAGCTTTCACTATCTGAAATATCGTGGCACAAGCCAAATGTGTCAATTAAAATGCAATGAAGATAGTACAAATCAATTTAATTAACTTCATAGCATATAACATCATAATCATGTAGTAACCAGTCAAAATCCTTTTATTTTTATATTTTTTTTCGATAAATAAATATTTTTATTTATATTTAAAACTCTACATTTTTTATAAAATTAGTTTATCTAGTTAAAAATCGCATGCGTTTAAACATTTATATTATATGCGATATTTATTTTATTTTGATTTGATTCTACATTATTTGTTATATATTTTTTATTTCTCTTGTGTATAAGAAAAATAATAAAATTGGTAGAATTTGAAAAAAAATAAAAAATAAAAAAAAGATCAAATGACCGAAAAAATTAATTAAAATGCTCAAAAATCCAAGTAGGAGAGGAAGGGGTGGCGCGACTTTTTACATGCCAAGTAGGAGAGAACAAGAAACCAGTGCTGAATAGTCCCGGAGAAAGATTGTAACACGTAGGATACAAAAAGAGAAATATTCACGGAGATTTCAAGTTCTATCTTGTGCAATCAATCAATCTTAGGTGATGTCTACCCTTATAGTTATTTTTGTTTTCTTTTTCATAATTAGCGAGTATTTTAATTTTCTAGTCTAAGAGTGAAAAACAACATTGTATGAATTTATGATATTAGATTCGTTCCGATTTATGATATTTATGTAATTCTTAAATATTTATGTGATTTCTAATTTCTTTATTTTTTAATCTTTAGTTTAGTTGTGTATTTCGGCTGGATATTTCAATTGAATTAAAGATTAACTATTAAACTAAATTAGACCTTCGTAATTGCGTTTAATTTGGCTAAAGTAGCAATTAGGTGCATGCACCAGTAGGAAATCATTGAATCAATTTTAAATATTTCGCTTAGGTAATTGTTAAATTGAATTAGGCACTTCTAATTCGTAAAGAGGTTAGGCTAGTAAATCCTTTGTATCGTCACTAGAATTTCAGTCTAATGAATGAATCAGTTAACGACGTACTTTAATTGTCAACAAACTAAAGAAGAGTTGGTTAGCAAGTGTGAGTAAATTAAATATTTATCAATAATCAAATTCAAATTCCAAGTTAGTCAATTTGATTTCTAGGTTAGAAACTTGTTTTTTTTAAAGTTTGACGGTTGAATTTTCCATAGATTTTTACTGTGCTAATTTTATTTTTGTTTATTTTTATTTTTATTTTTATTTCGCTTCTTTCAAAACCTCTCATCTTGTCATCAAACTATGGAAGGGAAAAACCTTTTTGATTCCTTAAGAAGACAACCCTACACCAATTATATCGTTGGACGGAGGAAGAACTATAATTTGATCAAAATCCTTCCCTACGTCGGCACTAACAATAATATAAAATGGTTGAAGATTCTCTCGGATATTTTTGCAAATAAATCTATATTTTCATAATATTTTTACAATTTATTTTATTTTTTATTTAAAATTTATCAATTAAACAAATATTTTTTAATTTTTTGTATTATAGTATTAAAATTTGATTTTACACTCAAAATATTATATCTATCTATTTATATCACATCAATTATTTTATAATAATTATATTTTTATTTTAATTATATAAAATTTTATGTTATATATAATATATAAATATTGATAGAGTTTTATATAAGTTTAATTCCAAAAATAAATATTTTATATGTAAATATAAATATCTATGTGTTTTTAGTTTGTTTGTTTGCTTATTTTGAGGTTGAAACGAAGAAATAGAGTACAATGTAGATAAAACAAAGAGGATGCGAAATGATGGAAAAATTTGTTGCGGATGGTTTTAGAGTAGTTTATTTATAGATTTTTCAGTATTTGTTTCGATGTTCTCCAATAAAACAATAATCAATATTTAAATAGAAATTTTGATTCAAAACTTAAAATAATAATAATAATAAAAAATTAAAATAGTGGTATTATAATTTTTAATAATCTTAAGAAAGAAATAGTGGCAATGCTGAAAATATAAATATGTAGATATCACAAAGTCTATACTGTATGTGGTAGCAATTCACTGATCTTCCTTTCCAAATATCATATCCTCAACCATGGATCTTCCACAAATTACAAGTTTCAAAATTCTGATGTTCCCATGGTTGGCTCATGGCCATATCAGCCCTTATCTTGAGTTCTCCAAAAGATTATTGTCCAGAAAGAATTTCCATATCTCTGTCTGTTCGACAGCCATCAATATCACTTCAATCGAAAGCTTCATCAAAAGCAACAATTTGGGGGACTCCATTGAAGCTGTGGAGCTCAAATTGGAGCCATCCGTACAGCTTCCTCCACACTACCATACCACAAAGAATCTCCCTTCAAATCTCTTACGCACTCTCCTGAAAGCCTTTCAGACAGCCAGATCAAGTTTTTCTGAAATCATCACGACACTGAAGCCTGATTTAATCATCTATGACAGTTTCCAAACATGGGCTCCCAAACTTGCAGCATCACAAGGTCTTCCAGCAGTTCATTTTTTTGTTCCTGGAGCAGCTTCGTCGTCGTACAACCTTTATCACCACGGTCGTTGTATCGATAACTATAATTTCTCAGAACTACGTCTCAATGATTATGAGAAAGGGATACTTGATGACACGGTGAATTTTTTCAATAATGAAATCTGTGACAAGGGCGAGGAGTTCTATTTTGTTAGCATCCAATCATCAACAGAAGTTGCCTTGATGAAGACCAGTTGGAGCTTGGAGGGGAAGTACATAAACTATGTTTCCGGTGCTTGCAACAAGAAAATATTACCAACAGGCCCTCTTGTCACAGATTCATATTCTTCTTCCAACGACGAGAAATCGATGATATTACAATGGCTAAGCAAGAAAGAGCATCATTCGACTATTTACATTTCATTCGGGAGCGAGCTCTTCTTGTCGGAGGAAGAAATCGAGGCAATAGCAAAAGGGCTGGAGCTTTGTGAGGTGAACTTCATATGGGTTCTAAGATTCCCTCTTGAGGAGGAGACAAAGACCATCGAAGAGACACTTCCATTAGGGTTTCTTGAAAGGGTTAAGGAAAGAGGTATAGTGACTGGATGGGCACCACAGGCAAAGATTCTTCAACATTCTGGAATTGGTGCATTTGTAAGTCACTGTGGATGGAGTTCGATAATGGAGAGTATGTATTATGGGGTTCCCGTCATAGGAATGCCATTGAAAGGGATAACGTTTCTCGACGCCAATATGTTGGTGGGGTGTGGTGCTTGTGTGAGGGTTCCAATGAAGGAGAATGAAGGGTATAAAGGAGAAGACATAGCAATGGTGATTAGTGATGTGATCTTTGGAAATGGTGGAGATAAGCTGAGGTGTAGAGCTCAAGAGTTGAGTGAGAAGATGAGAATGGAAGAGGTCGAGGAGATGGATGTTGTGGCTGACCAACTATGGAAGATTTGTTTAAAGAATCGGCCATAAGCTATCATTAATTTAATCATGGAGCATAATAAGGTTAAGTGTTCGACATTTATAAGTTGTTGAATAAACCAATAGATATATAATATTGTTTGGTAGATTATGAATATTTTTATTTTTCTTCAATGCAACCACATGTTTCTTGCAAGGTAATATGAATATTTGTGATTCTCGACATAAGCATTTTCGTCGTTATATGTCTACTGCATATCTTTTATTATGACCAGTCGGAAAAATCGTTCTCAATTATCATCATTTTCTTGGTATATGAAACAAATATCAAAGTATATACTCACGTAATAATGGTTGATGATATAAAAATATGATCCTATTAGGCAACTATGATACTAAAATTTATTTTATAAATTCAAATTGTCAACTAAACATCTTGCAACATGTTGTACCTATTAATTTATAAAAAACATTGTTCATAGCTTCTACGTGGTTTCGAAATTTAGTACTTTAAAAATTGTGCGGCAGTCTTTTATACTTTAACAAATATTGCATGAAATCCCGCCGTACAAAAAATATAGATGAAAAATCATCTTCTCATCACACAATATATGTAAAAAAGGGGTTTCATGTCACGAAAGGCGTCGTGCAATTTTTAAAATATATGGAATTTACGTTGAGTTTCGAAACCATGGACAAATTTGCCTTAATTTATTAAAATTACTAGTTTATGAGGTCACTCACCATAGTTTCTGTAAGCATGCAACATATATTTGGTTTGTTTACCGGTAAGATTTTGCAATTAGTTTTACTATTTAAATTTTTTAAAAATATATATATACTCCATTTGTCCCATATTTATATATTCATTTATTTTTTGCACGGAGTTTTAGAAATATTAGTATTATATTGAGATAAAATAAAAATAAAGGTAAAAAGATTAAATTAACCCTATTAATATTGTATGATATAAATGTAATGACATTTGTGTAATATATTGTAAATTTAAAGGATATTTGTAATGTTAGGTAGATAGTACAATTACTAAAAAAGGAAATGGATACTTTGTTACGGGATGGACCAAAATGAAAAAAATAAATAGATTGTTAAGGGACGGAGGGAGTATATCAAATCAAATAATTATTTTTGTATTTATTATACTCCCTCCGTCTGGCTTAAGGGTCTCATTTACGTTTTGTATCATTTTACTAACATTAAAAATATTCTTATATATGTATAATTTTTTGCACACATATGTCATTATAATAGTATTATTAAGACGAAGTATTTTTGCTCTTTTTTTTATTTGTATTACGTTTTCATATAATAATTAATATTCAAATATCAATACACAAAAAGTAAATAGAATCCTTAGAGCCGGACGGAGGTAGTATTACATTATAATTTAATTTTATATTCAAAATATCATATTAATATATATTTATATCACATCAAATAACTATTCCAATTTAAAATTTTACTATTTCCAAGAACAAATAGCTCATAACAAACACCATTCATTTGTGGTAAACGAAAGTAATACAAACTTTTCATATTTAATTACATATCGAGTTGTTCGTCTTTGTGTGGATAATCAAATGATTAATGAAACCCGACATGAGTTTCTTTTCTTTTTCTCCTCTTTTTCACGTCATATTCTCTCTCCGTCACGTCATCAAAGAAACTCATTTCATTTTATACATCCATCAAATAAACTCATTTACACAAATTTTAATTTCTTTTTTCTTCATATTATTAAATTTTCTATTTTCAAAATAATTTAAATTCATTTCATTGCTTTTAATATTCTATTTTTTAGGTTATTATGTATGTTGTTATGTTTATTAATTTTCATATTTTATTTTCTAGATCATTATATATGTTGTTATGTTTGTGGATTTTAATATTATTACGATGTATTTTACATCCGATGTTGTAATTTATAGTATTTTTATTTTTTTTTCCAATTTCAATTACATATTCAGTAATTATATATATTTTAATTATTTTTCTAATTTAATGAATAAATTTTAAAATAATTAGAAAATTAAATTGTTATTATTATTAATTGATTATATTTAATTAAACATTTATTAAACAAAAATATATTAATATTGGTATCATTTTGTAAAAAATAAAATTTTATAAAATATAAAAATAAAAAAATTATTAATAAAAATAAAGTGTATAAAAGATAACTAAAAATAAATATTTATTTTTGGCATGTAAATTAAAACATATGACAAGATTATATCCATGTCAGAATTTTACGCCGAAGCTGCAGAAGTAACCCATACAACACTCTGGCATCAAATAATTTTTTTTTTTAGAGAAATCCACCTATGTGAATAGCCTAATAGTTAGGTCATGGCTGCAGGCTCCTACTAGGGGACTCTTCTAAAATTTGTTTCTTTTTTATTTTAAATTCAAATTAATACTAATATGTACACTTTTAAATAAGAATATATATATATATATATTTATATATAGAATATTATACTCACTCCGTCCTTTTTGAAATGGCTTTTGGAATTTTGTTGTATATTAAAAAATAATAGTATTTTATTGGTTAATAAAGATGGGTAAAAGATTTTAATATTTTTGTCCATTGACTTTTTGTATAAATAATTGTATGTATAATATTATATTTGTAATTTAAATAAAAATTAAAAGTATTTTGGTATTAGTGTATAATTATTTTTCCTAAAATAACAAATAAATACTTTGAAATGGGACAACACCAAAATCATAAAAAAATACTCCCTCCCTCCCATAAATATAAAGAATATTAATATTATATTGGTAGTTGATAAAAAATATGGATAAAAGATTTTTTTTGCCCTTGTGAGTATATTAGTGTAACAAGTAGTGGCAATTGTGTAATAAAAATAAAAAAGTAAGGATAGTTTTATGTTGATACGATTATTTATGGAAATATGACTGTTGTTTTGGGATTGACAAAAATAATAAACAAGACCATTGTATTGAGACGGAGGGAATATTAAAATACTATTTAAATCAAAATTTAAATTATTATTTTAAACATGCTAGATTAAATACATCCAGTTCGCACCACGTTTCATATATGTCTGAGAAGAACATGGCCAACTCTATTAGCCGTAGACTTATTGGTATGTGTATATATATACACGTTCTGGCAGCCCTTACTACAAGTCAATTTCTTTAAGAGAGAATAATGATGGTCTCGTTGTGCGGGGAAGTGAACTTGTAGTCGCATGATCATGGTTCAAATTTGGATCCTTCTAGGTTCACCTGCTACGTATGGTTCGTCTAATGTGATTTGCTTTGTGAATTTGCATTCAAATACCTGCTGCGGTTCCCATGTTATCATAAATAAATAAATAGTACTCATTCCGTCCTAATACAATAGTTTTGTTTACTATTTTTTTCCGTCCCAAAACAATAGTCTTATTTCTATAAATAACCGTATCACCATAAAACTATACTTAATTCATTTTTATTACACTATCAGTTTTAAGTATTGTTATTAGTACAACGAATGTTTATAAAAAAAAAGTAACTTAAAATGTTGATGTCTAGTATGATCACTTCAATATTTTATTATAAATTGCATTATACATATACATATTAGGGAAAAATTGTAAAAAGTATAGCTCACGTATACCCATTATCACTTTTGTTCTGTATTTATCTCGTTGACAAAATATATTTTACATGTTTACAAAAGTCGTTATTTCTGTCCTTTGGCGGCGCGGGATATTTACACCACACGCGGTCACGGGCGGCCAAATGATAGAAATAACGATTTTTACAACCATGTAACTTATATTTGTCAGCGACATAAATAGTAACCATGTAACTTATATTTGTCAGCGACATAAATAGTAATAGGGTATACATATGATATATTTTTTTGCAATTTTCTATCTCTCTCTCTCTATATATATATATATATTAGTATGCCTAAATACAAGACAAAAGTAATAATAGGGTATACATATATGATATATTTTTTTGCAATTTTCTATCTCTCTCTCTCTCTATATATATATTAGTATGCCTAGGGCAATTAATACAGTGTATATATATATAGTCTATCCAAAGAGCATATCCTCAATTATCATGGATCTTCCAAAAGCTTCAGGTTTCAAAATCCTAATGTTCCCATGGCTGGCTCATGGCCATATCAGCCCCTTTCTTGAGCTCTCCAAAAGATTATTATCCATAAAGAATTTTCATATCTACATATGTTCGACAGCCATTAATATCCTCTCAATCGAAAGCTTCATCAAGAGCAACAATTTGGGGGACTCCATGGAAGCCGTGGAGCTCAAATTGGAGCCATCCGTACATCTTCCTCCACACTACCATACCACAAAGAATCTCCCTCCACATCTCTTTCGCGAACTCTTAAAGGCCTTTCAGACAACCCGATCGAGCTTTTCAGACATCCTCGCCACACTGAAGCCGGATTTAATCATCTACGACACTCTCCAACCATGGGCTCCCAAACTTGCAGCATCGCGAGGTATTCCTGCAGTTCATTTCTTTGTCGATGGAGCAGCGTCAAGATCGAACGACATTCATAGCAATTTTCCAGAATTACTTCTGAATGATTTCGAGAAGACGAGCCTTGGTGAGGAGGTGAAGTTTCTCCATAATGATATGTTTGAAGAGGGCGTCATGATGTCCGATTTTAATATCGAACTATCATCCGAAGTTGTCCTGTTCAAGACCAGTTGGAGCTTGGAGGGGAAGTACATAAACTATGTTTCCAATTCTTTCAACAAGAAAATCTTACCGACAGGCCCTCTTGTAAAATATCAGGATTCTTCTTCCCAAGACGATAATTCAGAGATATTAGAGTGGCTAAACAAGAAAGACCATCATTCGACTGTTTACATTTCGTTCGGGAGCGAACTCGTCTTGTCCGAAGAAGAAGTCGAGGCTATAGCAAAAGGGCTGGAGCTTTGTGAGGTGAACTTCATATGGGTTCTAAGAACAAAAGCCATAGAAGAGAAACTTCCATTAGGGTTTCTTGAGAGGGTCAAGGGAAGAGGTATAGTGACTGGATGGGCCCCACAGGCAAAGATTCTGCAACATTCTGAAATTGGTGCATTTGTAAGTCACTGTGGGTGGAGTTCTGTGACGGAGAGTGTGTACTTTGGGGTTCCCATTATTGGGATGCCGATGAGAATGACTATGGTTGCCGGCGCCAATATGTTGGTGGCGCGTGGGGTTTGCGTGAGGATTCCGAGAAAGGAGAATGAAGGGTATAAGGGAGAGGACATAGCAATGGTGATGAGGGATGTGATGTTTGGAGATGGTGGAGAGAGGCTGAGGTGTAGAGCTCAAGAATTGAGTGAGAAGATGAAGATGGAAGAGGTGGAAGAGATGGAGGTCGTGGCAAACCAACTATGGAAGATTTGTTTGGAGAATCAGCCATAAGCATCGATGAGGATTAGATCTATCAGCTGCTCATCTGATCAAGTGTACTGATTTGATCGGATCAAACATATGTATGTAAGTTTGGCAATGGAGGGAATAACATATAGTTCCTTCGTTTCAATACAATAATTTTATTTTTGTCATTTTTTATCCTTTTAAATCAATAGTCTCATTTTGTCATTTCTGTAACTATTTTTCCACTCTTTTACAAAACTATCTCTACATTTTCACAATAACATAAAATAGGGATTTTTGGTCTTTTAGAAACACATTTATATTTCCTTAATTCTTGTGCACATTTCAAATATCTCTAATTATTTTGGGACGAACGAAATATTATATTATAATACAATATATCTATTTTATAGTAACATATCATATATTGAAATATGTATAAATGCATGTTGATTAACTCGTATAAAATATATTGATCCGATCGATAATATTATTATTTGTTGTATCAAGATTTGACTTTCCATTCTCCTAATTGATTTTTATTATATTGCCCTTTTCTATCATGTTAACAGTATTTTTTGTTAGATCAAGATTTGACTTTTCTTTCTGCTAATTGATTTTTATGATTGCCATTTCCTATCATGTTAAGACTTAAGGCCATCTCCATAGAAATTTTTTTTTTTTTTTTTTTGGGTTAGATTATATTTTCTTCATGCTACGTGAGCGGAAAAATCCATTTTATTATATATTCACATCAAAGGGATGCATTCACAAAAACTTTTAAAAAAATTTCCTCCCTGTCGATCATTAAATTATTTATTTTAAAATATTGTACAATATTTTAATGTATTGTTTAATTAGTTATTTAGATTATATATGTTGTTATGTTTGTCATTTTTTAATATTTTATTATCTATGTTATTATGTATATTGTTATGCTTGTTGGTTTTGATATCATTATCGGTGTCATTTATATTTATTGTTTTCTATTATGGATTTTGTTATTTATATTATTTTTGAATTTATTAAAATTGTAATTACATATTTAGTAATTACACAATATTTTTTAATTTTTTTTTTTAGTTTATTGAATAATTATAAGATAAATAAAAATAAATAAATTAATATGATTAATTCATTATATTTAATTAAATTTTTATTGAATAAAAAATATATCAATATTAATATTATTTTATATTAATAAAAAAAATTTAACTGTGTACAAAAATTCTCTTCCTTCATAAAAACATTTTATTTTTTTTCTGCAAAATTTCCGCTCCTTTCAAAAACAAATTAGGTTTCTCAATTTAGTTTGCGGAATCAGATATTCCGATTAAATCTGTAATTTTAGATCTATTGAATCTCAAATTTTGCTCTTGATTATTTCTAACATAGATTTCTCCTTGTGGAGAAACCGCCAATGTGAATGGCCTTAGACTGCAATATTATATGCAAAAAAGTAATTAGGTAGATTAAAGTTCTACAAAAAAAAAAAAAAAAATTACATTCTTTGGTTTTCAAAGCTTTCTCAGAGAAATGAATACATAAAATTTAAATTAAAGCATCAAACTGTATTCAAGTTAGGACTCTAAACTGAACATAGAATGAGGGAATGAGATCAATGCCTTAGAACAAAAACTTGACAAGTTTTTTTTTTTATTTACTGCTGGAGCATATATATACTCTATATAAGTTCGTTTTTATAATACTCCCTCCGACCAAAAGTATAATGTTATTGTGTTGGACACGGGATTTAAGAAATATTGATATTATATTGGTGGTCGGTAAAAAGTACGATTAAATACTTTTTTGCCCTTGCAAGTATATTGGTATAAAAAATAGTGGCAATTGTATAATAATAATAAAAAAATATGAATAATTTTACGGTGATATAGTTATTTATGGTAATAAAACAATTGTTCTGAGACGGACAAAAATAGTAAAGAAGACTATTGTATTATGACGAATGGAGTAATATAATACGAGTATCTTTACTACATAAATATATCTTTGAGAATAATATGGGATTCAATATTCTTAATTTTTTTTTATTATATATATAATGTATTTGTTGTGCTTTTTCTGTTTTAATGTTTGTGATGTTTTGTTCATAAAGTGTTATTGTTTTGTTTATATTATTCTATTAAAGATTATATAGAATGGTTGCATGTGCTATTATCAAGTGAGGTACTTGATTTTTTTTCTATTTAATATTTGCTATTTAAATTAATGTCATGCCATAACTTTAATAAAATTATTAAATAATATTATAATATTACTAGAAAATATAATCATGACTTTGCTTTGACACACAAAAACAACATGATTTGTAGGGTTAGTATGTTTAGTTATATAGCTTGTGTATTAATTAAAATTACCGTTTTACCCCTCCTTTAATTAATTATCACAGTTGAATAAAATTTTAATCGGACAAATTATGATTAATCAGTACTATCAGCGACATCATGTCCTACTCCAGCATTAAGACTTACAATTATGTAATAGAACATAATTACTCTATGCACACACATCGGAAACTCATATCTGAGCCCCATAAATAAATTCATTAAAACAATTCTCTTCCGAAATTCTAGCTAGACAAGCATTGAGTCTTTAACATGCTTATGCTCTAAATCCACACTTATTTCTAAGGAATTACATATTTTTCAGTAAATTTGATTCTACAATATTGAATCTATCTTGTTGTGTTTGCTAAAATACCTTTGTCCAAATAGAGATATAGTTACGGTTTGAAAATCGATCTGAGTTTGGCACAGAAAATCATGCTTGAATCTCAAAAAATATGCTAAAAAAATTTTGGCCGTGCTCGCGCCAATAAATGTCGGAAAGCATTAATCACTCACTAGTAATGTAGCAAAGGGGAAGGGTTTGGGACTGATGATCCTAATCCCTGCATAATAAGGGTTACTGTAAAAATGATGTGATACATTGTTGTGTATTCTCTTCAATATTATCTATTTATTTATATAATTTATTAGAAAAACAAAACTAAGATTAAACAATATTACATATAACGAATTGGGAGTATGTCCAAGTAACTAGGATACTTATTCAAATTGTAAAATCAGAGTTTTTCGATGCCTTCCCTAAGCAGTGCAGAAAAGCAAGCGCAAGAATATCAATCCAAGTTTGAAGCAATCGGCGAGGACTTGACAAAATCTTAAATTGATAAAAAGAAGTTTCGAGATAGATTTTTTCAATGTGGAGCAAGAATTGGGTGCTGCTAAAGGACAAGAACACATATATGTTACAAAGAACAGCTTAAGGAGATTGACTTCACTCAAGAACATCTAAGGAAGCAAATATAAGCCTATATATAGAACTTGAGGGAATGAGATGGATTCGGGAAAAAGCAGAGTCATCGTACAGAGAAAAGGAGCAAAATGCTTGAATTGAGATGTGCACAATATATGGAATTGTCTTGAATTGGACTTGATACAATATCGACAAGCATTTACTTTTCATAAATCCATCATTGCAGTATAAATGTCTAGTTTTGTCGAAACAACAGATCTTAGAGAGGGTGCGAGAGAGAAAGATGCAGAACAAACACAAACTGAGATTCAACTTTCAAGTGTGAAGCAGAACAAATACTGACCTATGATGCTTTCTCCATTAGCTGTATAGGGGAGAGGATATTGGTCTTGCTTGTCTCGACGATGCAACCATTCATCACCATTTCTTCCAGCATGAAATGTGCTTTCTCCAAATGGAACATGATGTCCAGCTCGCACTGCAAAAGAACACTCGACTTTGAACAGTGGAAGAAACACAATTTCTTTTATTTCTCTGAACAAGACCTTACCACATTGCCAAAGTGTCGATCCATAGTTTCCACCAGCAAATGTATGAATTCTAATATTGCAAGCTCATTCTGCAAACATGGTCAAGAGAAAATAAATAAATAAGGCGGACAGCATAATCAAGAAGAAATCAAGAAACTAAAACTTAAACACAAGGCAACAGATGCCAGACTGGTCATTCTTAAAGAAAAATGCAAAGACACATTGGAACCTCCACGCCACACACATAAAATATTAAACAGAATAATTACTTTATTTCATTTAGATGTGTGTGTGTGTGTGTGTGTGTGACTGATGTTACAGAATGTGTGTGGATTAGTATATCTAATCATAATTTTGAAGTACTCACATCATCTATAATCTATCCTCATATCTGTGTTTTTTATTTATTTTTTCAAAGTTTAAAAAAGCAAATAACAACATATCTTTGCGATCCTGTATTAGAATGAGTTTGCAATTCTACTAACGTATAAGGACAAAATGCTATCGACTGTAGTTTTCAGACTAGTAACAACGTGCAGTCTATCCAAAGGCTGTTGGCAAATATACAAGCAGCTAACATTAGCCCAAGTTATTACAGCTTTAAGATTTACTTAGGAAGCCCTTATTGTATCATACAGTATTGCAATGACGGCCATTTGTCATCACCATTTGCATAAAGGAATAGAACTTCATAAAAACACAGCTGATGCAGATGAAGAAGTTTACCCAACCAAATTATGAACAATCATGTTCTAATAATTTGGAAAGAGAATTAGCAAGTAAGAATTACAATCATCAAACCATAATGCTAACATTATGATTGCATTATGCATATCTTGCATATACTTCGTTGCATAATTCTAATCTGAATCAATCACCATGTTTCATTATAAAGGATTCGAGATATATCAACGTGAAAGCAGCCTCTCTCTGCATCCACACACATATAAGTGGGCTGTGTGAGGATGCACTTAAGGATTCTGTACATGCACTTCTAATGCTAAGAGAAAACATCTAGCATGCATCAGCCATAATGGATTCTTCAATATGAGACAATATGACTTACTTCTTCGTTGTCCACTCCAACCAGGAAAAATAAAGATGCATATCGCCTATACACAACTTTGTAGTTTCGATGTTCAACAAAGGAGCACTGTTCAGCACAAATGAAAGATACAAGTGAGCAAAAACAATGAAAAGGGTGAACAGAAAGCATATGTTTTCTCCGCTATATGTCTAACATTATTTACAACTCTTGAGGAGAAATAGGATAATGTGTTGCGTCAATGAACAAGCATCTATAATACTGTATAAAAAACAATATAAAATAGCAAATTGATTAAGATTTTAATTAACAAGACATAAATGTTATCAGACACATTTAGGCATATCTAAAGCTACAAAAAGAACAATAAAAGAAGCAAAGTATCGCCAATGGATTATTGCAAGAAGATGGCCAGTACTTTATTCGTAAATTAAATACCATCGAATAATTCATCACTTAGCAAAACATAAGAGAACAGAAAGGAAAAATGCTATCTAGCTAAATTCAAAATTCAAGATAACTGATACATCAAATACATAATTTTTAACAACCTAAATTATTGCAAGAATATGAACTTACTCTATTAGTAAATCAAATACATAACTTTTCCCAGAAAAGATCCCAAGTTCTTGTTATGCTTCTTGAAAATACTTCAGTTCTACACATATAACAACAGATCTAAGAACTCACAGTAACAGCCCCCTTACGTCAAGTAATACATCCCATTAACAAACACAGCAAGAAAGCACCAAAAATCAGTTCATTTGAATCAAGGACAAAAATTGAAAATATAACATCATATATTATTTACTCAGCCCAGCCCGACACAAGTAATTTCATCTTCATCCCGAGGTAGCAAATAAACGTAAAACTTAATCCTTTCTAATCTAAATTGCTCGCATAACCTTAGAATACAATACAACTAGCCATCAATAAAAGTAAACCAGATACCATTTCCACAGCAACTAATACACCCAACAAAGTAAAGATTTCCAACGATCTATGCATAATTTAAACAGAAACATTAATTAACGAAATCAGAAACGATGTAAACATAAAAATAAAACGCGTGATTGAATACAAATTAGGACCTGTTGATCGGTGCGGACGAGGCATTTGCGAACTATTTCACCTTCGAGAGCCCGCCGCTCTTCAAGTGTAAGATATTCATAGTATTGAGCGAGACGGGTCTGTCCCTGCTTGTTCACCATCAGCACGAATCGAATCCCCATTTTTGAGGTTTTTTAGGTTGCAGCCGATCTCTTTCCTCCGCAACGTGTATTTGAGAAGTTTCTTTGTAGCGATTTAGACTGGCCCGGTTCCGAAACGGCGGTTCGAACCTCCGATTCAATGTTTTCAAATCTGAACCGGAGCCAGCATAAAATGGAAACCGAACAGTTTATGGGTGTCTTTGTTTGGAGGTTTTGATTTTCAACTGGGATTTGAATTAAAATAATTGTACGATGTGATATAAATATATGTAAATGTAATATTTTAAATATAAAATTAATTTTTAAAATAATATAAAATAAATAAAAAATAAATATTTTATTTGATATTTTAAGAAAAAAATTTGAATAAATTGCGAATTTTTGCAAAATCCCTTATATGAACCTTCTCCGCCAAGGTGGATGAAAATGAAAGGAAAAAAACAAAATGAAGGAAGAAAACAAAAAATAAGGATAAAGAAACGAAACGAGGAGAAGAAGAGGAGAAATTGACGGGCGTGTAAATTAAATTATTAGGCCAAAATATTATAATACTAGTATATTATAATTAAATTATTATATATTATCATATTTTTATAAAAATGATGATAATATTAATAGAAATAGAAATAGAAGTATTACTGTTAAAAAAATACTACTTTTATAAAGTAAAATTATTTTTATCATTTTATTTTTAGAATCTTGTCGGATCCTAAAATTCGGAGGTTTCAATACTATTCGTCGATTTATTGGTGTGTATTCCGGAAGTACTTCAAAGAGCCTGTTCGTCATCGGATTTAGGGCCGCTCTTGCGATGGAGCCTGCACAGCTTCAATCTTAAATGGGGCTTAAAGCCTAAACAACCGATTTCGATGGATTTAAACTAGCATCTACTAAAACTCGGATAAATTTACTTGAAAGCGGATAAAAATATGCTAAAAACATAAACAAGTAATTCAAATTAAAATGCATAAATGGAAATTAAAAACTACGAAAAAGAAATTGAGAAATATGCAAGTTCATCTCCTGTGTTTTTTCCTAATTTGAATCTTAAGATAGAATAACCGCATCTTTCCAGTAAAATGGGCACAGTTCCAATTATTCTTTCGTCACTCTCAACCGTCTGGTAACCTCCCATTACTGCCTCCAATTGTCTGGTAACCTCGCCTCCAATTGTCTAATAACCTCTTTCCATCAGTTACCTGGTAAGCTCCTTCCATCTGCTCCTAACTACCTAGTAACATCCTTTCATCCACTCTCAACCGCTTCCATTGCCTCTGGACCAGATCTGCCGCTTACTCCGACTTGTTTCCATCGTACTCCTAGTCAGTCCACGGGGATGTATCCCCAACGGCCGCGAGTTAAATGGAATCTTCGGTTTTCCTCTTGTTGGCTTGTTTCATGGAGCTTTTTGAATAAAGTATGAAAGTGCATAGGCCCTCCACTAATATTAAGTACGAAATTATTAACCCAGAGCCAACGGAGATAGTTATCCCATGATCCGTGGTAGTTGTTGCTTTTTATCTTATGGAGACAACATTCTTCTGCTTTGTGAAAGCACCACAGTCCAATGGAGGTAGTTGTTTTTAACCCAATGGAGACAGCACTTTCTGACCTTATGGAAATATTGTTCTGTGATGGAAACGCTATAGTCCAAGGAGTTGTTGCCCTAAGGTCCATGGAGGCTGCTGCTTTCGGTCCTGTGAAAGCACCACAATTCAATGAAAACTTATGCATTTGGTTTTGTGGAGGCAGCAGTCTTTGGCTCCGAGGTTTGAAGCTCTCTTGTTGTTGAGCGACTCCATGGCCAATTAGCTCTGAGTCCACTTTTATCTTTGAGTCTCCTTCACGTTGAAGTGCTTTCGGACCCATGTTCAACAAATCTATATAAAAATCAAAATTATTCCTTAATGAATTATTATTTATCCAATTGTTCCTCCTGTATATTTATGAGACAATTTTTATACAAGCTCTCATAATTTGAACTAAAATGACATAAAAATTGATTACGGAATTTAAAAAATAATATTATCTGATAAATAACGTTAGTTGTATTTTGTATTTTTTAACTTCATAATATTTGTAATATTTCTCGTGTAACTAAGTATATAATTACTTTTTTATATAAAATTTAAAAATATTATATTTTAATAATATGTGATCATTTTGATGCGTAAAAACTATATATATATATATTAATTTTTCTTTCTTTCCCATTATTTTGTATAATCTCTCTATGAAATTACAACATGATTATAAGCCAACACTTAATTTCCTCATTTCGCACACTTGATGATGGTTGGGTAAATGGATCTTTGGCTACGGTTCATTCTAAACGGGTTGGAACCCTCTGGTATGGTCGAAAAGAAGACGTGCTCATTAACATTTAAACCTTCAATAAACAGTCTTCAAAAGAATTTCCAACACTTAAATTCAAGTAAATTTAAACAATATTAATATTCATACATACTAAAAATTGCAAAAATAAACAAACAAAGAGATAACCATTGCATAATTTTTTTATTTTTATTTTTTTTTTAAAAAGTAAAGTTTGACATAATTTTATAGCAACTTGGCAAACCACAACAATCTTGCCAAATTCTGTAATTTACGTTGCAATATGATACCCCTTCATCAAACAAACAAAAAAGAAAAAGACACAGTTTTAGACACAGTTTTACCGGTGTAATTTATCTTATCAAGCCTAGTTTACAAGCCATTAAATTCAGTTGTAATTTTACTTAGAGTGAATTTAAAGAATAACAATTGTATATTCTCACGTCATATAAAAAATAAAAATCAACATGTCTAACAATTATTTGCGAAGAAAAAATCAATAGGCATCATGATAAATAACAGTAACATAATATTTCCTTCATCCCATGTACCGTATTCGAGTTACTGTAGATACGGGAATTTATAATAAGTATAATTAGTAGATAATTAAAAATGTATTAGTGAAAATAATTATTTTATATTATAAATAATTGTAGATTAAGATAACTAATTAGTTTTATTAAAATTAAAAAAATTATAAAATAAAAAATTTAAAATGAGATTAACGTATAATTATTTTTCAAAAACAGAAAGTAACATGAGATATAGAACGGACAAAAACGGCAATATAAATATGATAGGTGGGACGAATGAAATAATAAAAAGGCATGAAATCTACGAGACTTAGAAATGAAATACAGTAATATGCAAACAAAAATTCTAAATTTTTTTTTTTTTCCCCCTAAAAATATGAAATAATCACAATTCAAGTTTTACTATATTTCTCCTTGTTAAAACACAATATTTTTCTACTGTGAAACACAATATTTCTCTACTGTGAAAGTAAATTTTCTCCTACATAAATTACATTATAAATAGCTACAAATGCACAACTAATGCTCATTATGTTTCAATGACCAACAAAATAAGAAATAAATAAATAAAATTAAGCAACAACGATCTTATCAACATTACTCAATTTTTGTTGCAATGATCAACGAACGGAAAAATAACTCATAGAAAAATCACTAAAGAAAGTTAAAAATTTAGTATTGTAAAAAAAAATGATTCATAGAATATGAAAAGATAACACGAACAACCACAATTAAGTCAATCTATTTCTTTATGTAATAAAAAAAATTAGTCATCCCTCGACTTAGAGAAAAGAATTTGATAAAGTCATTTTATAAAGTATTATTGTATACAAGAGAAACTTAAAAGAATATAGCAAAAAAGATGAGGATAAGCAATTGGACAAATACATAGTTGATTTAACCACACAAATACTATATAACTCTCTTTCAGCGAAAAGAACAAAATACAAAAGTTGAAAATTGATATCAAATCATTAGAGATTAACAACGAGCTAAAATGATTAAATTTAAAAGCATATTGATTGTATATATAAATGAAAAATAATTCAATCTCACAAAGAAGACAAATAAATACTATTTAGCATCAAAAGAGACAAAGTCATATAGGTTTAAAGTAAAAAAATCATCACCAATATAATATTTTTATGTACAATTGGTAGACTCATGTATGTTGCCAATGAAGAATACATTTCTATGGAAAAATAGAAATTTTTACTTTTATTAAAAAAGTTATAGATCAGAAAAATTCAAAGAATAAAACAACTGAGACAATAGTTAATTTATTTCTAACAAATTTATCAAGAAACTTTTAATCAATAAGTTACTGCACTTTTAATTAATGCAACTGGACTTTCTTATCCTTTAGAAATATATTATCACCAAGTTAATGATCACAATCAGTCTCCTAGACAAGAATTATATGAATAATCCTTATTGGTGAATTTATTATTGGTGATACCAGCAATAAAAGAGAAATTGTCTCTTGACAATGATATGAACATTACTATTAAATGAAATAATGCAAAGTCTCATCTCAATAACTTTGATCTAAAATTTAGACGAATAGCATATATCGACGGATTGAATATCAATTTAATGATTCAACCATCAAACAACGTAGACACAAATGTAAATGACTTGGGATGGTTAATTTTTTATTGTTAGTTTTAATTTCGATTCGATTATATTAATTTGAGTTTATTCGAATTTCGTTCTCCTATGTAATTTGTATTTTTGTTTACGAAGTTTGTTCCTTAAAACCTATTAATTCACGTACGAATTCACCCCACCTTCCTTTTGTAATGAATACTTGTGGAATGAAATGGTGGGATCCAATTGAATAAGGCCCATTAATAGATCATAATGACACAACTAATCTAAGACAACATTAAATAATTAGCATTGATAACAATTAAGCCGTGAAAATCAAATGAACTATGAAAAATGGGATCCTAACATTGCCTTAAATGCAACAACACTCATGGTAAAGATAAAACTCACATGAAACATTACTTTATATAATTAACCATTAAGGGTGTACTTGTTTAGGGGTTTGGATTTTGAGTTAAAAATTTGAATAGTAAAAATTTTGAATTTGAATAGTTGTATGATGTGATATAAATAGATGTTTATGCGATGCTTTTAATGTAAAATTGATTTTCAGTATAATATAAAAAATAAAAAATAAGTGTTTGATTTGATATTTTGCTAGAAAGAAAAATAAGATGAATAGTGAATTTAAAATCCAATCCCCCAAACAAACACATCCTAAGGAGAAACCAAACCGTCCATAGACCTACAAGGTGTTTAACAAACAATTTTATTCGGACTTTTTAATTTGCTAAACAATTTTTAATTATTTATTAATCAAATAGTTACTTTAAGTGCTTGATGAATTATCTTTTTAGAATGACTTATTAGATCTAAAATTTTAATTTTTAAAATTATATAATTCAGCGTCTAGAAATAATTTTTCCACTCTAATTTTCATTTATTTTTACATTATCACCAAACATATATACAATTTATAATTTACAAATAAAATAATTGTAAATAAATAATTAAGTGCTATCAAAGAAAATATGATATAATAGTTAAAAATAAAATTATATATTATTTTTCAAAATATTGTAATTTTTGGTCAAGATTTGACACATGTCTAATCAGATTTAACGCATATATTATGTTTGTGTAACCCACATCCTGATCCAGTATTAATGGTCCAACCTGCCGGGCAGTCTCCTCCAAACAAAATCTCATCCGTCGAAGCCATTCAACGTGCGATATATATCGATGTCCTTCATCCTAATTTGATATGCGCCGTTATTGTGTGATTTTACTCTCACAACAAAATTCTTTCTACTTTGGCGATATTCTTCGTCTAGTTGCTGTGTGTTATGTGTTTCAAATTTTTGGCCGATTTACCGTTGAATTGAGAGGTGATTCTTCTGTGTGTCTTGGGAAATGTTTGGTGTGATTTTCTACGATTTGATTTTATTTATATCAAACTCTATCAATCGAGTGTTGAAATTTCTTGCTTAAATTTTGAGTGAATATCTTATGGCCGTCGCCGGTCTCGCTTTGTATTTGGGTTGCTCTTTATTTCTAAGAGTAGGACTCTCTTCTATGTCGATTCTATATTTTTCTAACAGCAAATAAATTTCATTTCGAGTTGTATAAACATATACAACTCTTATATGGTAGCTCATTACAATTTGATTCAATTGCAAATAAATTTCCACCATTCAAATTCAATTGCAAAGTATTAGGTTCAGCCGAAAATTTACCCAGTGTAGCGACTGCGGATTCCCACGTCAATTAAAAAATATAAAAAAAAACCTCTGGCCATTTCCATTTTCACCCATATTAAATTCCAACATATATTTTTCTATATGTATATACACGTATATTTTGTTTTAATAAGTTATTCCTTTCTAATTGTTTTCTTTTTTTAATATGTAACTGTGTCATTTAAAAGAGGGGAGGGTTTATTAAGAAAGCAACAGCTGAAAAAAATTGTCTCTTTGGTAAGTTGAGGAATTGAAGTCGCGAATAAATTTCGTTATTTCCAAACACCTTTCAATTTTTATTTTTTTAAAGATAAATATAAATATATAAACTGATAATTTTATTTTTTAAAAAAATCAAAATAAAATGTCAACTATTCATTTATAGTGCCCTTTCTTTCACATACTTTTATTTTTTAAAAATATTACACACTTTTAAATTTTATTTTAAATTTTTTAATTTATTTTTTATATTTTAATTAAATTAATTAGCTATCTTAATTTTAATATATAATAATTTATATTATAAATTAATTAATAAAATCGGACATCCAATATCCAATGCGGACCGAGAGAGCATTAATTATTAGGCCAAATCATAGAAAATGATACAATATGAGGAGTAAAGTGCAATTCAAGTGGCTCCACTTTTCATCAGTGATCTCAACCAAAAGCAAAAGAAACAAGGAAAATCAACTACGAAGACATAAATTTCAGAGAGACACATTAATGCTCTTCCAACCATCCATGGCGGAACCTAATTAGCTTCCTTCAACCTATCCAATTCAATTCAATTCAATTGCCCTCCCCCTCCAATGGACATTACGATCTGCTTTCTTCTACCCCTTCTGATCCACCCCACACTCGCCGGCGCTGTCGTCATTGTCGGCGGCGGAGTCGGCATCGGCCTCGGCGGCGTCGCCGGCGGCAGCGGCGGAGGGGTCTGGATCGGCGGCGGAGTAAACCCTCCGGCGACGCCCTCCGCCCCAAATATGAACCAGGCGTACACTGCCCTCCAGGCCTGGAAATCCGCCATTACCGACGACCCACGTGGGATTCTCCGGTCATGGATTGGCCCCAATGTCTGCAACTACAGAGGCGTTTATTGCACCGATGCTCAGGATTTTCTGGGAAACCCCGCCGGAAAATCCATCACCGCCGTAGATCTGAACGGCGCTAATTTGCAGGGAACTCTCGTCAACGAACTCGCCCTCCTCACCGATTTGTCGATTCTCCACCTCAACGGCAACCGCTTCGCCGGCGGCGTGCCGCTCGCCGTCCGGGAAATGTCCGCCCTGACGGAGCTGGATCTCAGCAACAACCGCTTCTCCGGCGAGTTCCCGGCTGCGACGCTTTATATACCTAATCTGGTCTACCTCGACCTCCGATTCAACTCCTTCTCCGGCCCGATCCCCGGCGAGCTGTTTAACAAGAAGCTCGACGCCATTTTCCTCAACAACAACTTCTTCTCCGGCGAGCTGCCGCAGAATTTGGGCAATTCGCCGGCGTCGGTGATTAATTTAGCCAACAACAGATTTTCCGGCACGATCCCATTCAGCTTGGGGTACATGGGGATTCGGGAGATTCTCTTCCTCAACAACCAGCTCACCGGCTGCATCCCGGAGGGCGTCGGAATGTGGACGGACTTGCAGGTTCTCGACGTCAGTTCCAATGAGCTAATGGGACACCTGCCCGAATCCCTCTCCTGCCTCACCGGAATCGAAGTTCTAAACTTCGCCAACAACAAGCTCTCCGGCGAGCTGCCGGATTTGGTCTGCACACTCCGGAGCCTCCTGAACCTCACCGTCGCCGCCAATTTCTTCTCCGGCTTCAGCCAGGACTGCGACCGGCCGGCGTTCCGGAACCTGTTCGATTTCACGTTCAATTGCATTCCGGGGCGGCTGCTGCAGCGGCCGGTGCCGGATTGCTCGGCGGTGCCCGGAGAAGGGCTGAGCTGCCTGCGAATCCCGTCGGCGCGGCCTCTTGCGTGTGGGACATTGGTGGGAGCAGAGGTAAGTCCACCATGACTGACCATTTGAAGATGATCGATCATCGAACCGGATTAATTATTTTTTGTTTCTGGCAAATCCGGACCGACGGGACCGGACCGGCGGACCGACCACGTTCTGGATAAAGACACGCCGGATAGGGTAGAGCACTTTAAAATAGACCTTTTTTTTTTTTTAATTATTAGTATTACAATGTTCATGTATGTATGTATATTATGATGTTTTGTGGATGATCTGGATTTTGTGTTCTGGGAGGCCTACAATTTCTTGGTTGTAGGGATTCAGGTCCGAATTGGTGTTTTTATTTATCTGACACTATTTATTTTTTTAAAAATATTATATTAAATATATATATTTTTTAATAAAATATTAAAATAAATACTAATTTATTATTATTATTATTTTATTTCAAATTTTTGAATTTTTATGGCGATGGGGCCCGCAGCACGTGAATAAACAGGGGATGTGGGGCCCACGTGCAATTATTTGGGAAATGCCTTGTTTGGGTTTACCTTTATTTGCGCTGCCCGTACAGCTACCCCAAATATTAGGGAAGCTTTTTGATGCAAGGGTGGGGTGTGTAGAGAGCACTTTATGTTTCCAGAGGTTATTTTCTTTCGGGCAATTTGAGGGTGGTGGTTGCGTTTCGGGCAAGTTATACAGTTATTCTGTCCTTTTTATCAATTTTAACACTTTTACTGATGATTGATTTTGATGTTATCTTTGGGTTTATATATTCCTTCGGTCACTCGAATAAATATATGGTTTATTTTATTGGAAAGAACAATTCATTTATAGTATTATGATACTGACATACAGTAATTTATTCGTTTCAATTCAAATAATTTTTTTTATTTTTTATTTTTATTTGTTCTAATTTAAAGAATTCATATTTAAGGTGTGTTTTTTTGGGGGATTGGATTGAATTTATACTATTCATTTAAGTTTTTTTTCCAAAACATCAAATTAAACACTTATTTTTTATTTTTTATATTATACTAAAAATCAATTTTACATTCAAAACATCACATCGACAACTATTTATATCACATCATACAACTATTCAAATTCAAAATTTTTACTATTCAAATCCCAACTTAAAATCCAAATCCCCAAACAAAAACACCCTTAAAAAATATAATCATACACTAATACTAAGATACTATTAATTTTTTATTTGAATTACAAATATATCATTAGATATATATTATATATATAAAGTCAAAGTGCAAAAATATTAAAAATTATTAACACTTCACTGGACTAATAAGATATTATTATTTTTTAATTTACTACAAAATTCAAATAAACCACTTTGATTTGAGATTAAGGGAGTATAATTAAGAGAAAATAACAAAAATAACTATGATATAAAAATAATGACATTTGTATAATATATTGTAATTATAAAAGAATTCCTAATATTAAATAAATAATACAATTAGTAAAAAGCAAAATAAATAATTTGTTATGTGATTTGACCAAATTTTTTTAAAAAAATAGATAATTTGTTATTTTATATTCCTTGTGACTATTACGGAGTTTAATTAATATTATATTTTAATACTCTCTTCATTTCTTAAATAAGTATTTATTTATTTTTTGCACGCGATTTAAGGTATATTAGTATTATATTGATATATAGTAGGAATAAAGTAGAAAAGACTAAAGTAATTTTATTACTATTGTGTTATACAAAAATAATAATATTTGTATAATATATTGTAAGTTGCTAGGATTTTTAATGTTAGGTAGGTAGTAAATTACTAAAAAAATAAATAAATATTTTATTACGAGACAGATTAAAATAAAAAATAGATTATTTGTTATGGGACATAGAATAATAATTAGCAATAGTTTTGATTTGTAAAAATTATTTTATTTCTATAATATGTAAAGTTAATGTAAAAATATTGATGTAAATAAATATAAATATCGTAGTATTTGTAATGTAAGTGGAGTTCATACATAATATAAAGATTTTATGTTTGAATAATACTCCCTCCGTCCAGCTAGAAAGTATACATATTTTTATTTTGGGACGTTCAATTACAAAGTAAACATTTTATTAAATACCTTATTTTTTTCCACAAATACCCTTACTTTACATCACATCATTACTTTTATACCAAAAAGCAAAGGCAAAAATGTCATTACACTACTTTTAACTACCTACTACAATTAAAATACTATTATTTCTTAAACACCGCGCCAAAAGTAATTGTATACTTTATGAGTGGACGGAGGGAGTAAAAAATACCACCTCCTTCGTCCGGCTTTAAGGGGCACAATTATTTTTTGTTTGTTGATATTTAAATATTAATTGTTATATCAAATGTAGTAAAAATCAAAAAAAAAAAATAGAAATATTTTTACTAGTTTTTTATAATACTAATATAATAAAATTATACAAATATAAAAATATTTTAATATTAAATATAATGACTCCAACAGGAAATGTAGCAATTAGAAACAGAAATAAAGAATAAGAAATAAAATACTATATAGGTGTGTTTGTTCAGGGGATTGGATTAGATTTCTACTGTTCATTTTATTTTTTTCCCCCAAAAATATCAAATCAAAAAATTATTTTTATTTTTAATATTATATTAAAAATCAATTTTACATTCAAAATATCACATCAATATCTATTTATATCACATCGTACAGCTATTCAAATTCAAAATTTTTACTATTCAAATCACAACTCAAAATCCAAAACCCCAAACAGACACACGTATATTTAAAGGAGGGCGTAAGATTTACAAATAAAATTGATACGAATTTGTAGAGATTTTGATTTTTTTTCATCTTTTTTTATTAGTTGTTGGTTTTGTTTGTTTAATATTTTAGTTAGGGGTATTCCTACATGAGATATTTATTAGATTAACATCGGTAATATAAAAAATAATATTTATATTAAATATTACTCATTCTGTCTCAAATATTACGCAATATTTTTATTTTACGCAATAATTCAAATGGAGAGTATTAAATATAGTAATTTAAAAAAAAAATTAGATATTAAGTGATGTAATTGGAGAAAGAAATAATTTTTTGTTTGACACAATAATTCAAGTGGAGAGTATTAAATATAGTAATTTGAAATAATTTAGATATTAAGTGATGTGATTGGAGAAATAAATAATTATTTATTTTTTTATTTGAGTGATGTGATGATTTAATTTGAAGAAAGAAATAATTATTTATTTTTTTATTTTTTACTTTTTTACTATATTGTATTAGATATTTATATTTTCTTCGTACTAATTTAAAGTATTATTTTTATTATTTTTGTTCCTTCTACTCAAAAATATTAATTTATATTATAGTAAAAGTAATTACATACTAATTTCAGAGTACTCTTTAATTTTTATATAAATTAAAAGCATACTATTACAAATATAATAAATTATAGATAAAGTACTAGATGTAAAAATGTCAGAATTATCCCACACATTTCCACTGATTAATAAATATTACTCCCTCCGTCCATTTACAATATTTATGTTTACTTTTGGCTAGTGTAATGATATTTTTGCCCTTACTTTTTTGTGTAAAAGTAATGATGTGATGTAAGATAGGGGTATTTGTGGAAAAAAATAGAGTATTTAATGAAATGTTAACTTTACAATTGGATGTCCCAAAATAAAAATATGTAAACATTGTAAGTGGACAAAGAAAATATTATCTTTTAATTAACTAAGAACTCTATATGACACATTTGAAATGAAACAAAGAGAATATATTATATTGTTGTTATTTGTTAGGGAAATGAAAGAATAGCAAATGTTAGAATCATATAATTTTTAAAGTTTGTTGTGCCTGTTATATATTTTGGCCCGTGATAATTGAGGTCTAGAATGCACACAACCAACCCGCCCAAATTGAAGCCCGGACCCGGCAACCCACTACCCGACCCAATCTTTTGAGAGACTCGTCGGTTCGCAAGCTGCCTGGCTTTGATCCGGGCTGGACCGGTTTGAACCGGTCTGGACCGCTGGTCTGTTCTGTCCTCTATATATAGGCTGATCCATTGAACCGGTACACAATTTTATTCCAGAATATTCATTCATTCAGAGAACAACACAGAACAGAACCTTCTCGCGATTCTTCTCTCATGCCCTAGGCGATTCCTTCGTCATCGCGTCTGCCTTCTCCGGTGAATCTGTCCGGCGAGTTGGGAGTTCCTCTTCCCCGTTGATGCGCGCCTCTTCCCTCGGTGTTTCTACGGTTTGGTTTAATCGATTTGTGCCTTTATGTGTGTCTCGCGATGTATATGCTGTTCGCGGTGTGATAGGCTTGAAATCGATTGTGTTTCCGTAGATAAGGGTTCGGGTTTGTGTGTTTGTTGCGTTTCCGTGGCGTGTCGTTTGTAGTTGGGTCTTGGATGTGTGATTGATGTCGGTTGGTTTGATATTAGGGTAAACTGAGTTTGAACTGTTGCTTCCGTAATAAATCGAAGTTTTCTTTAAGTTTTCTTCGATGTTAATTTGATTTCGAGAGAATATAGCCTATTGGATCTTGGATTAGTAGTAACAAGTGGTATCAGAGCTTTTAGGTGGCTAACTCACTGTTTCTTTCGAAATTGAGAAATCTCGGTTTGTTTTTGTTTTGGATAAAACTTGAAACCGTGGTTTGTTTTCTATTTTTTGTGAAAACTTGAGTCAAGTCCTTATAAACTGTTTTTTTTTTTAAGGATTGAAACTGTATTTTTCCCAAATCTTGAAAACGCGAGTTGTTCTCTGTTATGTTGAAAGGATTGAATCTGAGTTGATTATGTTCTCTGGTTTTGTCGAAAAATTGACAATAGTCCACTGTTTTTCGAAATCTTGAACTGGATTGGTGTTAACAAGACTGTTACTTGCGCTGTTTGATATGTTGTGATCTGTTTTGTACAAATTCATTGATTATAGTGGGGTGATGTTTCAATTGTTCAATCCTGTAGTTTTGAAATACAATCTGAGAATTGTGCGATTGTTACTTTGAGTGTTTGGAACTTGAATACTATAATTGTGATCACATTGGCCTTAAAGTGAAACCGAAAATTGTGTTTCTTGTAGAAGTCTGTCTTACCTGTGACATTCTTGGTTGATTAGGCTGTTGGTTAGTATAGTCCTGTATTGTGCCATCCAAACTATACTAATTTGTGTATTGAGTGCGCAGTTTAAAAGGTGAAGGTGTAACAGGTTGACATCGAAAAAGATTCTAATAGACAGTCAAACAACTGTTGCGGAGCTAGGAGTGGGTAACGAATAGCTTATCCCTTTATTTTTGAAGTAGTAACTGTTTTGTGTTCTACTTGTGT